AAGTAGTAGAAAATTCAATACAAACTGCATTAGAAATTTCTAACAAATTCGCTAGATTTTTCTATTAAATTTTTTCATACGCGGCTCTTGAAAATTCTTAGATTTTCGAGAAAATTCCAAGACAATTATCAGGATTTCGAGAAAATTATAGGAATGACTCTGGCGAACCAAGCTGATAGTTGGGCTTTCAATAATTTCCAGTGTTTGAGAGAAAATTGAGAGTTAGCTGAGGATTGGAGCAGTGAGGACTACAATGCATTTTATGCTAGCCACTTTCAATATTATCAGCTGTTTTGAAAATTGACAATTAAATTGGTAATTCTTGGTGATCTCTTTATTTCCAATCAACGTTTTCGAAATTGAAAATTAATCTCCGGAGAATTTTAATCGATTTTTTTTTCAACGATAATTTAAAATGAAATTTCTAGTGAATGAAAATTTTTTAAATTAAATAGGAACAGGAGCCGAAAAAAAGCGAAAAATGTGAAAATCGACTCCTGGCCATTCATTACAGCCTAGAAAGATCAAGATCAAGGTTGAACGTGAGTCAACTTTCGGCCACCTCTGCATTGACTTTTGGTCAACTTTAGCTTGGCCTTGGGTTAACCGTGGCTTGACCACGAGTCAACCTCGGCTTGACCATGGGTCCACCTTGACTTGACCATGAATCCACCTTGGCTTGACCATGGGTCAACCTTGGCTTGACCATGGATCACCCTTGGCTTGACCATGGGTCAACCTTGGCTTAACCATGGGTCAACCNCTTGACTTGACCACGAGTCAATCTCGACTTGACCATGGGTCCACCTTGACTTGACCATGAATCCACCTTGGCTTGCCCATGGGTCAACCTTGGCTTGACCATGGATCACCCTTGGCTTGACCATGGGTCAACCTTGGCTTAACCATGGGTCAACCGTGGCTTGACCACGGATCAACCTTGGTTTGACCACGGGTGAAATTTGGGTTGACTATCGATCAACCTTGGGTTGATCGCGGGACCTGTTGATTAAATATTGATTTAACCTTGACGAAAACTTGGTTAAACCCTGATTAAGTCGTAATCAAACTCTCATTTAATTTCGATTAAATGCTTTTTAGGCTATAATTTCAAAGCAAATGATGCGATCGCCGCTATCTTCGAACTCGACCGAGATAACATCCAAAAAAAAAATTTAAGCCATAATTGAAAAGATTTCGACGATTATATTTTGAATGATGGTCGAAAAACTAAATTTGAAAAAAAAACTCAGATACGTACATACAAACATATGTCCGGATATGATCTAAAAACTGCATATTCAAACTCCTGAGACCAAAATAGTAATTGTAACTCATCCCGACACAAAAAATGAAAATTTCAGATTGGACGAATACAGGGATTACATTCGGAAGAAAAAAATCCAACTCTCAATTCTCAAAAAAGTTGAGAGTAGATTAAAAAGCAATTAAGAGTGAAAAATCCAACTCTCAACTTTCACAAAAATTTTCAAGTAGATTGAGAGAGAATTAAGAATAAAAAATCCTATTTTCATGAAGAAAAAAATTCAACTTTCAATTCTCAAAAAAGGTAAGAGTAGATTGTGAGACAATTGAGAATCAAAAATCCAACTCTTAATTTTCAAAAAAATGGAGTCGATTGAAAGACAATAGAAAATAATAAATGCAACTGTCAACTATAAAAAAAGTTGAGAGTAGATCCAGAGATAGTTAAGAATCAAAATTCCAAAATCTAATTTTCATTTCTGAAAAAAGTTGATTGAAATTGAAGAAGTCACTAAAAATAACAAATCCAATTGTCTGTTTTAACCCATCAGTAGGCGCGCTATGAGCTATTTCCTCACAAAAATTTTCACTCCATAGGAAATGTACCCTAAAACCGCAATTATTTTGCTGATTTTTTTTTATATGCCTCAAGTAACTCTTCTAGTTGACTCTTGTGGTGATAAAAGTCATCTATTGGTCAGGGTTGAGTATAAAATAGTACATTACATGCCCGAGCCTTGCAAAACAGATCTGTAGTGAAGTGGTAAAACGAGGCAACTGCATTTTTTTCGAAATTTGTTTTATTGCACCAATCACATTGTAATATTGATCTGCAAGTGCTGATGGAAGGGTTTGGTCTAAAATAATATTTTATGGGGTTACATGAAAAATAAAAAAAGAGATATGTGCGAGTTTCAATTTTCTATCAATGCAATTGGAGGTAAGTTGACATAACTCCCATCATTGGGAGGACCTAGAGGAGGTAACTACACTTATCTCCATATGTATTGATAGAGACTAAATTCCTTATTCCAAGTGTTATTTTGAAAAACAGGATGGGGTCAAAACGGGCCAGGGGGACACAAATGACAAAGGGAGCAAAATGGCCCATCTAAAAAATAAATCTCACGAGGGTCACTAGGGGGAGGGTCAACCGTCACGAGGGTGACTAGGGGGAGGATCAAACGTCACGGGAGTGAGTAGAGGGAACGTCAAACGTCACGAGGGTCACTAGGGGGAGAGTCAAACCTCACGAGGGTCACTAGAGGGAGGGTCAAACGTCACGAGGATCATTAGAGGGAGAGTCAAACATCACGAACGTCACTAGGGAGAGGGTCAAACGTCAAGAAGGTCACTAGAGGGAGGGTCAAACGTCACGAGGGTGATTAGAGGGAACGTCAAACGTCAGGAGGGTCACTAGGGCGAGGGTCAAACG